ATATATATAAAAAGCATTATTTGAACATTTTTATTCAATAGTTAATAACTCGATAAACATTAATATTTTTGTTCAAATTAAATTTATTTTTAGAATGAATTATTTTCAATGTTACATTGATCATAATCAATCTACTTGATAACATAAATTCACAGGAAGCTAAGATATAATCTTTTCATCGGTGATAAAACCAAAAAATGCAATAAACAGACGTTCTATAGAGCATTGATGATTTTACTTTTTATACAAGTATGAATCATTCTCTTATGGCTTACGATTTGAAAAAGGATAATAATTAACTTTTATTTTAAAATAATAATGCATTATTTGATTTATTTCGATGCAATAAATATATTCTATTTTAAGATTAAAATAATATTAATTCGTACAGCTTATTAGAGCCCCTAAAAAAAACATGTGTACAGATCACACAAGTTAGAAGTGAAACCTTTAATAAATCAAGTTTGAATAGTATGGAAAGAGTGCATAGTTATCAGGAATAGAATAATTTATTATATAATATTATTATATTATTATTTTGTACTTTTTTTCTAATTATTTATTTAATAATTAGAAAAATTCGCGCCTATAAGGATGCAACCCTCCAGACACACTTTAAAAATGTTGCTTGCGCGCGCCATCTGCTGAGACGAAATTTTTTTCAGCCCAAACTGTTCATACACGTATGTCTTAAGGGTTGCTTATCTTTCGGGCAGAAAAAAATTCCGTCCCAACAGATGGCGCTCGCAAGCAACATTTTCAAGTGTGTCTCGATGGTTGCATACGTACAGGCGTAATACTTTTATAAATAATGATACAAATTTAATTTTTATTTTGTAATTAGTTAATGCATATTTTTAGAATAATAGTCTCACTCTCTCACAGACTCAATCTTATACGTTTATCTCTTTTTCTCTTCTTACTTAGTATCGTGGCCGCTGCATCGATACAGTGTTTCATTTTTTCAAATCACCCCCATTCTAAAAAAGTTTTCACTTCATAAATAATAAAAAAATAAATAACATTATTTCAAATATATTTAAAAACAATTATTACCATTCGAAAATTGGTAATAATGAAAACTGCAATACCGATATCTATTCGATACAAGTTTTCATAGTCAGGGGTTAGATGGCAGTAGTTCCTTATGAGGGGTAATGTAAAAATAACGATCCAATAGGAAGCGTGTAAACAATGGTTAAAGTTGTTAGGATTGGTGGTACTGTCGCCAAGTCGAGTAACGTTAACGAATCAGAGGGTTCGGTTTAGCGGTACGATGAGAAAATATTGTGGGTATAACTCGGCCGTGTAAAGTTAAATCCCTTCCCCCGATATCAGAGAGTCCCCTTTGCAACACGTCTCGGATCCCGCTAACCTCCCCTCCTCCACACACACATAAGCATTGGTAGTAAAGAGAAAAAGGTGCGCGAGCATCGTTCGGGTTCCAGAGGACTCAGCCATTTCTCTCGTTAAGAAGAGCGTAGCAACGCGCAAGAGAAAGAGAGAGTGGTGTCTCTCTCGTTTGAAAAAAAGGTGTTTAAATTGTTTTTTTTTTTAATTTAAACGTTGCAAGGTGCGGGTATACCCGAAAATTTGTGCAAAATAACGCGACGCAAAAGGATGATACACTCCGGGCGTACAAGGCTCGAGGTAAGTCGACAATTTGGAACTGTCGTCTTCGTCTTCGTCTTCGTCGTCTTCGTCGTCGTTGTCATAATATAATAGTTGTGTTAGAATATAGTTATAATAATTCCCATAGTATATTTTTGAACGTTAAAACGGCGCGTCTCGAAGTTGTGTGTGGTGATGATGATAACAACACGACGGGGGGTAGGAGGGTTAGTCGTCGTCGTAGTCGGTCGTCGTGTGCGTGTGCAATGTTGTCATTGCCGTTGCGAACAGCTGATTCGCTCCGCTGGCCTTCGTTGAGCACAACAACAGTCTCTGTCTCTCTGTTTGCTGTCATATCCTTAACAAAGTATATCCTGTCTCTCTTTTTTACCTCGAATCATATGTTGATTATGTTGTTGTTGTTGTTGTTTTTGTGTGTTTGTTGTGTGGTGTTGCTACGACCATAAAGAAAGAGACAACCTAATAAATATATATACGATATGATACGGGACGAGACAGAGACGTGACGCGACGTGACGAGACGAGGGGGACGAAGGAGAACAAAAAAAATACACAAGAAAAATACTACGAGAAAAAAAAAAGAGAGAGAGAGAGAGAGGAATGTGTTTTTTTTTTTTCTTTTAATCGAAAGATAAACAAACCGATCCACAAAATTTCAACCCCCGAATGATAAAAAGAAAATGAATTCGATAAAAATCATTCGATAACACGAATGTATACAAAAGGTAGATAGGAAAGGTCTTCTTCATGCTTATACCATGTTTCATTTGATATATCATGTCGTATTGTCCATATGATCATCTTTAGGTAAAAAAAACAACACCATCACTACCACCCACCAATGTTTGTTTGTTTGTTTGTTTGTTTTTTTTTTTTTTTTTTTTTTTTTTTTTTTTTTTTAAATAAAAGAAAATGCAAAATAGGTTTCTTTTGGGGATAATACTCTTGGTAGAATCTCACTTTCGGCTAAAACGTGTTTGGTGCTTACGTTCTTTCTTGCATGCACATCGACCGAACCGATCGGCCAAGTCCATCCTTTGTTCTCTCTCATTCTATCTCTTTCTCGCACACTCGTTTCCTACCACTGCTGTTTGTCTCTCTTACTCCTTTTATATGCACAATATATATATATATATATATATATATAAATGCATTGACGTCTATACATACACATATATATATACATACATATCTAATAGTTGAATATACACACGTTTATTTGATTTTATACATTGTACCTACATATTTCTCTTTCTTTCTTTATTTTAATCTATTTATCTGTCTATCTATCTTTATCTCAATCTCCATCTCTATCTTTATCATCGTTACTAGTCGAGTTGCATCAACGATCACGTTAACTCCTCCTATACGAATAGTAGTCGCATTACAAAGTTGCATTTAGTTTTAGTTTGGTTTGGTTTGGTTTAGTTTAGTTTAATAGTGTCCTTGTGTCGTCATCATCGTAGTTTTGTCGTCATGGTCGTCGTTGTCGTCATCGTAGTCGTGTCGATGTGTCCGCGTTTTTAACATTTTCTTCGTCCCTTTGTTCAACCCCACTCCCCACCACTTCTCACTCCTTCCTTACCTCTCGTCAATTCACCCGTTTACCACCCCCCTTTCTTTGTTCTTCTTCTTCTTATTCTTATTTTTATTCTTATTATTATTCTTCACGTCGAACAGACGAGACCTATGCACACACACATACATACATACATACATACATACATACATCATTCACAGAAAAATTTCATCACCTTTGTGCACTTTAACACTACTATTACTATTATTATTATTATTATTATTATTATTATTATTATTATTATTATATATATTTACGTGCACGTTTTTTGAAATCTCTGTGTGTACATCTGTGTATGTTTTTTCAACTTATCTCTCCTTGTTTATTTTGTCCAAACTACGTTTGGAACGTTGTACAGTTAGAATCCCATAATATTTGGAATTTAAATGGGAACGATCAAATAATAAAATTAATTCATACATTTTTAAAAACACGTGTTGAAACTAGTTTGCATAATGCACATTGAGTATATATATATATATATATATATATATATATATATATATATATATATATATGTTATATCAAAGTAGGGTAAAATGTAGGATCACAAAATTATCATCTATTCTCATTTTTATTTTATATATCACGAATCGGATGTAATTATTTATTTATCATTAATTTCACGTATACTGATTATTGTTTTTTTTTTTTCTATTTTTTTTTATATTATTATTAATTAATAATAATGATATATGAATATTTAAAAGAGAAAAAAAACACACACACACACATAATATGAATTTAAAATTTATAAAAAAAAAAAAGTAATCTAATAATAATAATTTAAAATTATATGGATAATATAATATAATTATTTATCATAATTATTGATTTATCATTAATTTCACGTATACTGAATATTGTTTTCTTTTTCTTTTTCTTTTTTTTTTTTTTATATTATTATCGATTAATTATATATGAATATTTAAAAGAAAAAGCACACACACACACACATAACATAGATTTTAAATTTATAAAGAAAGTAATCTAAGAATAATAATAATAATAATAATAATAATAATAATAATAATAATAATATAAAATTATATGGAAGATAATATATTAATCCTTTGAGTGCTGAATACTTGTATCTAAAATATTTTGTAGGAACGGAATAATTTATAATATACATATATATATATATATATATAAAGTTTTTCTTTCTGTGTGAATGTAATTTAATTAAATTAATTTAAACATTACATTATTTTACATTTAATATTAACAAATACTTATATGCGTCTAACAACCACGCTTGTAATTTTTACCAAACGCATATATAATAATACATTATTAACCATCATTATCGTTCCTTTTCGAATTTATTTTACTTCTGTTATGTTTCGATTTTTATTTATTGTTTTTGTTTCCATGCACATTTATCTAACTCTAACTAAGGACAGTTTTATATTAGATTAACGTTAATAAATTTAATCAATTAAAGGGAAAAGAAAGAAAAAACTCTTGGAAAAAAGAGGAATTGATTAATAATTAAAAATGAGATGAACGAGAGTAGCAATCGATTTAGGGTTTTGCAATTTTTATTCGAGCAATCCACTTTTTTTTCCTATTTTACCAATCTCCATCCACCTCCCTCTCCTCATCACAATTTCCTTTCTTCCTCGTAAATTTCCTATTTGCATTTATTTTCTTTTTTTTTTCTTTTTCTTTTTCTTTCTTTTCTTTTTTTGTTTGTTTGTTTGTTGCTCTATTTTTTTGTTTCATATTAAAATCATTCGCATATTCATAAAATCATTCATTTGCATTGAATGAACGAACGTTCATAATAAATAACTATTAATCCGTAAGAAGGATAATTGTGTATAAGAAGATTATTTCTATCTTCTTTATTGAAAGTTTTCTCAGTAAAATAATATTCATTATTTATAATCATAACAATTTTTAATGATAACAATTTTAATAATGTAGTATTACTATTAACCAATCACGTATCATTTGTGTACGCTTAAAAAATATATTTTTTATTATCGTAAAATACGTTTATAATTAGAATTTCATTGATATGATGGATGATTTAAATTTAATTTTTATTGTTTTTTTATTAATAATAAATAAAATAATAAAAAAAAAATATATATATATATAAATAAATTATCAATTAATATATAATATAATTTTAATATTAAATTAATACGCTCGATATTTTTTATTTCTTAATTCGAGCTATTCTTAAAATTGTAAAATAATATTTGTAAAATGAGAATCTCATTAATCTAAGTTCAAATAAATTGATTATTAATGATATAATAATTGTTTGAAAAAAAAGAGAGAGAGAGAGAGAGAGAACTAAAAAAAAATAAATAAAAATACAGATAAAAAATAAGGGATAAATGAGTGGTTGATAGAAAACACGCGAAATACAACAACAAAATTGTGTGCTGTGCGCAAGTTTTATTTGAACGTGTTGATCAAGATTTGTGTTATTATCATCGCTATTATTATCGTAGATCGTTATTTATAATTTTATCTTTCTTTCTCTTTATTTCCTATACGTATTATTCTCTTCTATCTTCGTATTTTATTTTATTTTCTTTTTTTTTCTTTTTTTTTTTGAATTTCCAAAAAGTTTGCGAAAAAAAACCGAATAAAAAAAGAATCAATCAAGATATGTTAAATATATACGTATTTCGATTATTTATTATTATTATGATTATTATTATTATTCCATGAATTATAATATAGATAAAAAAAGAAATGACAAATGATCAGCTTTAATAATAATCATTTATCAACGATCACAAAATAATAAAACATTAATGTAATTATTCATTGAAGTCGTTTTTCAACTAAGTTAGATTACAACTTATGATTATCTGTTTTAATGAAGTCCAATGATGTGCTTATTTGAAATGATACTAAGTTTTATTATGATACGTATGTGTATTATCAAACGAAAGGCATGTTTCAGACTAGTTTCATCATACATACTACATTTTCGTGATATTATTATTTATTTTATTAATTTCATATATAATTGAATATTATTGTTCTCTGTTTTTTGTTATTTCTAATCAATTTACGAACTTACTTTAAAAGACAGATTTAATATATTTATATAATAGATAATAATAGTAAATGTAAAAATAATATATGAAAAAAAAAAAATATATATATATATATATATATAATTAATAATATAACAATTTAAAAAATAGAAAACTAGCATGAGTAGGTTTAATAAAAGCAAAATTAATATATATTTATACAATAAATAGTAATAGTAAATACAAAAATAATTTAAGACAAAATAATAATATATATTTATATAATATTTATATATTTATAATAATATATATTTAAATTGTGATATATTATTAATAATATATCAATTTAAAAAATTAAAAAAGTAACATTAGTAGGTTTAATAAAAGCAAGAGATTAAAATATTTATATAATAGATAGTAATAGTAATATAAAAATAATGTAAGTTAAAATATATATATATATAATTAATAATATATCAATTTAAAAATATAAAAAAAATAGCATAAATAGGTTTATTCAAAAAAGAAGAAAATGAAGAAGAAATAAAAGTAATAGGAGGAGAAACAGTTTGAATCAAATAATCAAATGAATGAATGAGGGTGGGGGGGGGGAGTATATGTTCAAAGAAATACAACCCTTAATAAAGTGTGTCTCCTTTCTTCTGTAGCTTCCTTTTTTTCTCTTTCATTCCTTAATTTTTTTTTCTCTTTTTTTTTCTGTTAAATATTAAGAAAAGTAAAAAAGAAGATCCTTTTCCATCGTTCTTTTTCCAATTTAAAACGAATCCAAGCTTAACGAGTTTTTTTTTTCTCGTAGAGTTTTGACTCTGTGTTACAAGATGAGTAGGATAACAACGTAATGAGAGAAGCTTTGAGGATTAAAAAAATTCGATTCGAGAGATAAAATCTGTGAGTCAGCATTGAAAAGGTCATTTTAAAATTACTATTACAACCTTTATCGTTCAAGTGCATTGTCTTTGGCGGCCTTATTTTTCTCCTTTTTTTTCTTTTTTTTGTTGTTTCTTTTTATAAAAAAATATATCCTTCAAATTCTTTATATTTTCATTTCCTACATTCGTACGTACATACGTTTGCTTCCTTTTAAAATATGGTATATTTTATATTACTATATATTATATACCCCCATATACTATATAATGTATTTATATAATTATTATTTATTTTATTAATTTTTTATATAAGTAAATGTTATATTGTTCTTTTATTTTTTGTTTTATTTTTTTTTTTAATTCTTATCAATTTGCGAACTTTAAAAAGGCAGATTTAATATATTTATTTAATGGATAGTAATAGTAAATATAAAAATATATTTATATTATATATTTATGTGTGTAATATATTTTATATTACTATATATTATATACTATATATACTATATAATGTATTTATATAATTATTATTTATTTTATTAATTTTTTATATAAGTAAATGTTATATTGTTCTTTTATTTTTTGTTTTATTTTTTTTTTTTAATTCTTATCAATTTGCGAACTTTAAAAAGGCAGATTTAATATATTTATTTAATAGATAATAATAGTAAACATAAATATATATATATAATAAGAATATATATAAAAAGATTAGGATAAGTAAATGCATTGATAATTAATGTGCAAGTAATCACATGTTAGTTGCACACAAATTTAAACAATTATTAGCGATATATATATATATATATATTTTTTTTTTTTTTTTTTTACTATATTTAGCTTAGTTTCTAAGTCCGATATAAAATTAAACATGTAATCTCATTTAGTCACTTACAAATTTAAAAGTCCGAAGGATATTACTTGACAATGTTCAAATATCATCATTTATGAATAATTTATAAATACGACTGATAAATTATTGCATTCGTAGTGTCTATCAGAAATATTACTTTTGTTGCGAATAACTTTTCAATAATTCAACTTTGTTCTCCTTTATCTCCTTTTTTTTTTTTTTTTCTTTCTTTTTTTTGTTAAGGAAAAAAGAATCTTGCAATTTTATTTTCTTCTACTCCTGCAGTATAGGCAACCCTTTAAACACGTTTTATCTTTTCATCTCGTTAACGTGTAATATAATTTGACTATTGTTTTGTCATATTATTCTTCTTAATTATTCTTTTCTTTTTATATTTTAATTGAACGATACATCATCGATATAATTCTTCTTATTTTTTTTTTTTTTTTTTTTTTTTTTTTTTTTTTAATAAATAATATTTAAAACATGTCGAAATAAAAAGAAATATTTATTTTTAAAGATGAACTGAACTGAGTCTCGTTAAAATACACGTTATCTGAAAATAATATTTTCTTTTGCTTGGTTGATTTGTCGAACATAATATTTACCTTATCACGACTATTATACTCACATACACATACACATACACACACAAATATAAATATAGATGTATTATATATATATATATGAATCGTGCAAGTTTGTTGTTTATGCGTAATATTTTTTTCTTTCTTCACTGGCGATTAAATGGCGCGTGATTTAAAAAAATTATTCTCTCTCTTTTAAAAGAGAAGGGTTGTGACGTTCGAACTTTAACAACGAATACGTGAAATGTATTTTCTCTTGTTTTATTTTTATTTGTTTTTTTTTTCTTTTTTTTTTTTTTTTTTAAATTACGCATAATAAATATGCAAATTAGAAATATAGAAACGTACCTGAACGATAATGCAAATGACTAGACACACATAACGTTCCTTTCTTTGTTTTTTTTTTTTTAAACCAATCATAAACTTGTTTAATAATTTAAAAGAAAGAGATACTATTTATTAATCAGAAAAAGCAATTTTCTTTGTTTCCATTTTTTGTTCCTTTTTGTTTTTTTTGTTTTTTTGTTTTTTTTACCTGTTAATCGAGTGGGACGTATAAATACGTCAAACGTATTTTACACACTTTATATATAAAAAAATATATACTTCATAGTCTTTTCATTTATTATTATTATTATTATTATTATTATTATATATTATATTTATTACTTTATAAATTATTATTATTATTATTATTATATTATAATAATTATTATATAATTAAATAATATTATTTTAATATATAATTATAATATTAATATTATAATATTAATATTTATATTATATATAATATTAATTATTATATTAATTATATAATATTAATTGTAATATAATTATTTATAGCAATAAATAATAAATAAATAAATATATAAAGAAATAATAAATAATAATAATAATAATAATAATAATAATAATAATAATAATAATAATAATAATAATAAAGCTGCTTAATTAAAAAGAGAATTTCTCGGTTAACAGGTTAATAAATAAATAAAATAATAATTCGAACGCGCATGATCGTCAAGGTAATAATTTATTTAAATAATATTTAAATAAATTCTAATCGATATTTTATTGTCAATAAAAAAAAAAAATAAGAAAAAGACGAAGAAGAAGAAACTAAATTTAAATTTGATAAAGTTGACCCAAATAAAAAAAATAAAAAAATAAAAAAATAAAAAAAAATGTTATCGTAAATCATGACGTAATGGGGAACATATCTATATCTATATATATATATTTTTTATTTAATTTTTTTTTGTTTAGAAAAAAGTAAGTCGAGTGGGAGTAGGAGGAGGGGGTCAAATTGTGCAAGGACTTCAATCGGTCACCGAAACTGGAACCGGAAGTCAATGGTGGAGACAACAGCAACCATCCTATCATTATCACCATTATCATCATCAGAGTGGTTATTACACATCGCAATCGCATCCTCACAACAACTCTGTCACTACCATGAAGCAATCCTATATGCAGGTTGGTCTTTCATTTTAAACAAAATCGTATCCTCCTATGCTTTTATTCGTTCATGTGCTTTTTACGTTTTCATCGTTTAATGTCCTTTCATTTTGGGCTTTGTTTTATTCTTTTTTTTTATTTTTTTTTTTATTTTTTTTTATTTTTTTTAATATCAAATTTCTACGGGACGCATATTATTTGTCAACGGTGGGGTGAGGTGGGTTGCCAGTTAACTCTCGTCTACTCTATGAGTGATAATATTTTTTGTATTTTTCAATTATTTTTAATATATATAATTAATATTTTATTATATAATATATTATATAACAATTAATATTATATAATATATTATATAACAATTAATATTATATAATATATTATATAACAATTAATATTATATAATAAAAAATATATANTATATAACAATTAATATTATATAATAAAAAATATATATATAAATTATGGAATATATAATATTAATTATTATATCTATAATATAATATACTCTTAACTATATTATATTATATGTACTATATATAATATAATATAATAATACAATATATATTATATATTTGTAATATATATATATATATATGTGTGTGTGTGTGTGTCTATGTATCTTCTCTCTCTCTCTCTCTCTCTCTCTCTCTCTCTCTCTCTCTCTCTCTCTCTCTCTCAGGTTCATCCATCCATTTACCAACGAGAAACGTACTACCAAAGTACACATATATCTAACTACTATCATGTATCTTCTCTCTCTCTCTCTCTCTCTCTCTCTCTCTCTCTCTCTCTCTCTCTCTCTCTTTCTTTCTTTATCTTTTTGTAATAAAATTATTTTTATAGGAAAAATAAAAATATGAATTTAGTATAGTTCAAAATAATATTTTTCTTTTAGCTAACGTGGATTTTACACGACGACGAGGCGCAGATTAACAAAAAACTGCCAAAGGAATTGTTATTAAGGTAACATTCATAATATTATATAATTAGATATAAATGATGACTTGTATTTACATTGATTAATATCGAGATTGTGATCGATCTGCACGCGTAATTTCAGAATCCTCTCGTATCTCGACGTTATATCTTTATGCCGATGTGCCCAAGTAAGTAAAGCATGGAACATATTGGCCCTCGATGGTTCCAATTGGCAAAGGATCGACCTTTTTAATTTTCAACGAGACGTAGGGGTACTTAAAAAAATAATAATAATATATATATATATTTTTTTTTCTTTCTTAAGAACAAACGTAATAAAACAATTCACATATTTTGTATGTTACCAAAAAAAAAAAAAAATAACAACATCGTCGCGTACATTTCGAATTTTTATATTTAAATTTGTCGTTTCGTTTATTTTTTGTTTTTATTTTTTTTTATTTTTTTTTATTTTTTTTTTTTTTTATTTTTTTTTATTTTTTTTTATTTTTTTTTTTTTTTATTTTGTTCATTTAATTCTTGCTTTCTTTTTTTCTTCTTCTTTTTAGGAATCAGTAGTAAACAACCTTTCGGAACGTTGCGGTGGATTTTTGCGACAATTGTCACTGAGAGGATGTAAAAGTGTCGGCAACGATTCAATGTGTAAATTAGCCCATGATTGTCCCAACATTGAGGAACTTAATCTGAGTCAATGTAAGAAAATCTCGGATGTAACTTGTGCGGCCCTCAGTAAACATTGTAAAAAACTGCAACGATTAAATTTGGATTCATGTCCGGAAATAACGGATCTTTCGTTGAAAGATCTATCGGATGGTTGTCGTAATTTAACGCACATCAATTTATCATGGTGCGAATTACTTACCGACAATGGAATCGAAGCATTGGCAAGGGGTTGTAAATTATTACGTAGCTTTCTAAGTAGGGGTTGTCGTCAATTGACAGACAAAGGTGTCAAATGTTTAGCCGAATACTGTCGACATCTTGAAGCCATTAGTCTACACGAATGCAGGGTATTATAATAATTTTTATTTTAATTATAATTATTATTAACATTTACTTTGATACTATCAATAATCTCATCTCTGAATAATATTGATGTTTGAGTAAAAAAAAATGAAAAATGAACGATGAGTTTTTACATTTGATTTTATTATTATTATTTTTATTGTTATGCTGTTATTTGAATTTAATCATCAATTAATATGGACAATTTTTCTTTGCAGAACATAACAGACAACGCGGTAAGAGAACTAAGTGAAAAGTGTCCAAAATTACATTATGTTTGTATATCGAATTGTCCTAATTTAACGGATGCATCTCTCATAACTTTGGCTCAACACTGTCCACTTCTTAGTATTCTCGAATGCGTTTCTTGTACTCATTTTACAGACGCAGGTTTTCAAGCTCTCGCGAGAGTAAGTTTCTATAATCCATCATGTAATTTTTTTTTTGTTTTTTTGTTTTGTTTTGTTTTTGTTTTCAATGATCTATCGATTTGTCTTAATTGTATAATTTTGTAGAATTGCAGATTACTCGAAAAGATGGACCTCGAAGAGTGCCTTTTAATAACAGATGCCACCCTTATACACCTGGCTATGGGTTGTCCAAGATTAGAGGAGCTGGTACGTTGAAGATAAAATTTGAAGAAAAGAAAAACAAATGCTGTAACAAAATCCGTCATAACTTGTCCTATACTAATTTGTTCATTTGAAAAAATAATGTAGAGCCTGTCCCATTGCGAGCTGATCACTGACGAAGGGATTCGGCAGCTTGCTCTTTCACCATGTGCTGCGGAACACTTAGCGGTATTAGAACTGGATAATTGTCCTCTGATAACGGACGCCAGTCTCGATCATCTTTTACAGGCCTGCCACAATCTAGAACGAATTGAACTTTACGACTGCCAACTGATCACTAGAGTTGGCATACGTAGATTAAGAGTATGATATTCTTATATTTAGTTTTTCTTTTTTTATTTCTTATAATGTATATTTTAATCCTTTGCGAATATGAAACATCAAAATGCGTTGTTCAGTCTATCTCTGCAATTCTATTAATATTTGCAAAAACAACAAGATAAAAGTTATCCTGTAGAACAGTGGTTTTTAATCTTTTCAAAGTCACGAAACATTTTTGATTAGAAAGAACATTTCTGCGGAAAACCAAAAAGCATTAAGTAAGATGATTAAGATCATAAAACCAACAAAAAAAAAATGTGTGTGTAAACTTTTATTAATGTTGAAAATTTATGTAGATTATACATTATACATAACATAATATAATATAACATATTTTGAACATTTAATTATAGATATTATAAAGATAATAGATAATTCTAAAAAAAAAAAAAGAAAACAATAATTTAAAAATATTCTATACTAAAATAACTAATAAAAACTTAATTAGGTATAATATACATTAGAACTTTCATCAAATTTCGCTGAAAATCGGTTAAGAACCACTGCTTATAGAAAGAAAATATTGTTTAAAAATATGATTTTTTTTTAGTCAGAAGTCATTATAATTGATTGCTTTATCTAACAGAATTAATTTATTATTAGATAAAGAAAGAAAAGCCACTTTGATATCTTTTAATAGTTGCAAGATTACTAATCGTTTATTCGAATATGTTTCGGAAAGGGTAAAATATATTTAAAAATATTGGGTTGGCAAGAAAGTAATTTCGGTTTTTTTTTTTTTTTTAGTGTTAAATAAAACTCAATTGTTTATTTTTACGTTTATTTAAAATTACACAGAATTTGTTTCTATAGCAATCTAAAAGTGTCATCAACTACCAAACCTCAAAAGAACAAGATTCTAACATTAACAAAAGAATAACGAAACAAACATTGGTGCAAGCCGAATTAATTACTTTCTTGTCAGCCCAATAAATAATTCATTTAATCGTTAGATAAAACTGATAATAATAAACAAACCAAAACAAGAAACAAATAAACATATATATTTCTATTATTTCAGACACACTTGCCGAATATCAAAGTACACGCATACTTTGCACCAGTTACGCCACCTCCTAATTCGGGAGCACCCCGACAACGATATTGTCGATGCTGCGTCATTCTGTGATTTATCATTAAAATGATACTGAAGTAAATCGTCCTTATGATCTAACTATTGAAGAAGACGTCGTTTCAAATGACGTTGACTTTTCTCGGTGGTCGTTGTTAACGTTTAACAACAGCGATTATGGGACCCTTTATTGTGGTTACCGGAGAACAATGATGGAATCCTGGTTGCCTATCTTTGACAATGAGTGTGAAACTCATTGTCTATTTATAAATGACTATTTCAAACGTTTTCAATTAATTCGAGCTCCACACACGCAACGAGAGAAATAGAAAGATAAAAAGAAAGAAATAAAGCAAGAAAGAAAGAAAGAAGGAAAAAGCAAGAAGGAAGGAAAGAAAGGTAGAAAAACAGAGAGAGAAAGAGAGAGAGAGAGAGAAAGAGAAAGAGTACAGTACGTCGCCATTACCATCGTCGTCACCATAAAAAGTCACTGCTGCAAACTGCAAACTGCAAACTGCAATTTAACTACTACTAAACTTATTAAACCGCGTCATGCTGCTGTTACTCCTAATCCTTCTTATTGTTAGATTATTTCGCGTTATATTATTGTTTTAAATAATAATGACATATATATATATATATATATGTATGTATATATATGTCATGTAACATTTTCTTATCGCATTGTCTCACGTTGAAAGGACAGTCCGAAAAGGAAAGAAATCTTTGGGTTTCGTTGATATTACGAATTGTAGATATATAAACGTTCTATTATTATATTCCTTAAAAAAAAAAAAGAAAAAAAAAAAAAAGATTTCATTCGTAAAGAGTTAGTCCAATCTTTCACGCCATTTAGGAATAATGATTTATTTTTATTATTATTATATTTGATTTTAATTTATAATTTATGTTTTATCAGTTTTTACATTTCGAACCTTACGCAACAACGTTTCTTATTATTTTTTTTTGTTTTTTTGTTTTTTTTTTTTTTATTAAATTGAGAACAAACAGTTAAAAACAAACTTGTAGAATCGGTTAAAAAAAAAAAGAAAAAAGAAAAAAAAGAAAGAAAGAAAACAAACAAAAATAATTAATGTATAGACTTTTTAATCTTAAATAATCTTGTTAGCCCATCCGATTTATGGGAACGTACGTCCTGTAGCAGTTTCTTGACGAACACTGCCTGTAATGCTATTAATATTTAAAAAAAAGAAAAAAAAACTAATAAAAAAAAAAGAAAAGAAGAAGATAAGAAGCAAAGAAAAAAAGAAAAAGAAGACAAAAGTTATGTGATAGGAAGAGAACACTTAATCGACTTATAATTATTATTAAATAAAGTGTATTGCGTAGTAGACATTTTGTTCTCTTAAACGTAGAAATGAAAAAGAAAAAGAAGAAGAAGAAATAAAAAGAAAATCATAAAGAGAACAATATAACCGTCTGTGTCTTTTGATGGAATAGGTTTTTTTTTTTTTCAATCGGTCCATCCATAAAACTTTGACGGTACCTACGGGTTTCTTTCCTTTTAGGAGAACGCATGTCACTAATTCGAATCGACTCTGCGCACAATTATCTTTGAACAAAAAGAAAAAAAGAAAAAAAAGGAAATAACAACAACAACAAAAATAGAAAAAAAAAACATAATCGTTTTAAGCGAAATCGTTTAATTGTTTGAAGAATACCGAGGAGTATCGTTTATCAAACTTGTACAACCTACCAGCGTTAACGGTAGCGAATGTTAAGATGCATTTTATATTGATTTACGGGCTGACGATATAATACATACATACATACATACACACACATTTGTCGATAATTATGATAATACATCAACAACAACAACAAAATATATAAATCAAAAAATGTAATTTTTTAATTTATGCATTAGACAATACAAATATTATTAGGTTGTCCCATAAGTTTCTTAACTTTTGTTTTCGTTTTTTTTATATACACTTTATAATATTATTTTATTAATTAATATTACACTGTATTAAGAAAAAGTGGTTTTAATGGGACAACATGGATATTAATAGAAATTAAAAATAATATAATATAAAATAAAAGAATTATTATATTATTAATAATTATATTAAATATAATATTATATTATTATAATATTGTATTTAATATAATTATTAATAATAAAATAATATATATATATATATATATATTATTTATATCTTAATAATTAATATATAAAAGTTAATAATTAAATAATTAAAATTAATATTAAAGTAAAAGAAGAAGAAAAAAAGATAGAAACTTTTGGTAAAAATTAACAATTGAAATATAATATAAAATTTTTTTTTTTTTTTTTTAATTTTTTTTCATTCTTACAATTGATTTTATCATAATTATCGACATATACAAAATACACTTGTTAGGTATATAATATTATACCACTCGCGAATCGTAATTTTGAATCACAAGCGTACTAATTATATTTCTCCTCGATGGTCCAGGCATCTTTGTTGTCCCTTTTTTTTGTAATTTATTTTTTCTTTATTATTATTATTATTATTATTATTATTATTATTATTATTATTATTATTCTTTGTTTTTTTTTCATTCTAGCTTTTAAATTGTGTCTAAGATTTTTTTGTTTCTTCTTCTTCTTTTTATTCTTCTTCTTATTCTTCTTCGTATTCTTATTCTTCTTCTTTTTTTTTTTGTCTTCTTAATCCTATTCAATTAACTCGTCATGGACTAGGAGAGCACAGACTGAAAAAAAAAAAAAACTTTTAATTAAAAGTAAAAAATAAACGTAATAAAATAATCGTAAAATTAAAAACGAAAGGAAAAATAAAAAAAAAATCGAGCAAAATAATGCAATAAATTTAAAAAAAAAAAATAAATAAAATAAGTAAAATAAAATCAAATAAACCACACGAAATAAAAAAGAAAAAAAAAAAAATAAGAAAATAATACGTACGAATTGAAGCGTTTATTAAATTGCGTCTTGTTGTTTAAAAAAAAAAAAAAAAAAATAGAACGTTTTAAAAACACTTCTGTGTGCGTGTGTATCAGCGGTAATCAGACGACGCTGGTATCATAATCTTTTTCATTTGTAAGCTTACAATTAGATTTACAGTACTATAATAGTACGATTATATTATTAATATTATTATTATTATTACTATTATTATTAATTAATATTTAAGTAAGATATTGTGCAGATTTATCCTATATCGAATTATCGAAATCCAAAACGATTAAGTTTGTTGTACAGTTTTTCAATTCTTTATTTTTTTTTTCTTTTTTCTTTTTTTTTTTTAATCATCATTTTTCTCACGTCCTCGATAATATCCTTTATCACACATACACATACACAAAATTTTACAAAAGATAAAAATTAATTATATATGTGCATATTTAATATGCCTAAATTTATCACTTCCACTCGTCCCTTAATTGACTGTCTAAAAAAAAAGAAAAAAAAAAAAACATTTCAAATCCCCATAAAACGTTGATAAGATTTAAATATTGTCTGCTCTTATATATATATATATAT